TTTAAACGTAATTCTTCAAAAACTTCAACAAAACAGACAATGCTCATATTTCGAAAATGAAGAAAAGTTTTAAACAGGATTGGGCAAGAGATCCTAATGTACATTACATGTTTTTATATGCTGTGAAAATTTTAACTTGGAAAAGGCAGTATTTTTTTGGATGGTTGACAGTGAGAATCCTATTGACAGAACCTTTAAATTTGCAATACAAAAATTAAGCCTGAAAAGTATAGACAGTTCAGTCTAAAGTACGCTAATATAGCTAATTTGGAATGAAAGCATTGGTGCTTTAAGCTTATGTAAAAAGCAAACATTGAACAAAAATAAATCACAACCACAAAGCAGCTAAAAGTGCATTCTACAACAGTATTGCTGCCTTTATTAATATCTTTACAATGCTTAGCTTATTATTGTTATTTCAATGTCTACATTTGCTTCACTTTTGTCAGAGAGCAACTTCAGTCACACAGTTCAATTTACTAAGAAAAAATGGAACAAATGGTGAAATAGTCACATACCAATTCAATATTACCTGTATACAACAGCGTTGATAGGTAGCAACATGTTCCCTGCTTAATTGTTGGTAAAAACATGCCGTGGGTCAAAAAGGATTCTATCAGGAATTTAGCATTTGATTACCGGGAAAAATGCATTTAAGTATTGCCATTTTTAAAGTGCAGGAATGTTAAGCAACCCAAAGCTGTGAATAGATGCTGGAAGTGTTTATGTAGAAGGACTGGAACATATAATTCTAGAATATGTTTAACTGCTGTGTACAAATAATAATTAAAAAATAATTATTTTCTTTATTATTGAAAGCTTACACAAAAAATACTTTGATTTCTTTTGCAGTAACTGTGCATACATTTCTGTATGAGTTTGTTTAATTTTGAGCCAATATTCCATTACTAAAAAGATGCTTTTTCCTGGTAAGCATCTCAGAGCTTATACAACGCACAGGTTTCAAGTGTGCTCCTTAGATGGGACACCAGTCCATTACAAACTCATACACAAAAGAATAATTTAGACACACCAATAAACTTAAGCACTATATAAAGTACTGTAGGAGGAAACCAGAGGAAGGAAAACCCCACACAAATAGCGAAAGAACATGCAAGCTCTACACAGTAACAACCTAGTCCTGAATTGAACCCAATACCCAACAGCTGCAAGGCAGAAGCTATCCAAGGTGTCCAAGATCTAATACTAAAAGTTTCAATAAACTAGTTTCTTAACGTGCAGTCACTCATAAAAAATCATAAAAGGAAGAAAGAGGTCCGAACATGCCCTTCTCTGTATGCATCTTTACCATATTAAGCCAGCAGCCATATCACCCTGCGACTCACTCCTGGCAACCCACTGAAGCTAAGCAGGTGTGAGCCTGCTCAGTACCTGGATGGGAGACCTCCTGGGAAAAACTAAGGTTGCTGCTGGAAGAGGTGTACAGTCCCAACTCACCCTACAGTCCATGTGGGTCCTAATGCCCCAGTATAGTGATGGGGACACTGTACTGTAAACAGGTGTTGTCCTTCGGATGAGATGTAACACCGAGGTCCTGGCTTGACTCTCTGTGGTCATTAAAAATCCCAGGGTGCTTCTCGAAAAGAGTAAGGGTGTAACCCCCGGTGTCCTGGCCAAATTTCCCATTGGCCCTTACCAATCATGGCCTCCTAATAATCCCCCTCTATGAATTGGATACATAACTCTACTCTCCTCCCCACTGATAGCTGATGTGTGGTGAGCGTTCTGGTACACTATGGCTGCCGTCCAGGTGGATGCTGCACATTGCTAGTGGTGGAGGGGAGTCCCCATTACCTGTAAAGCGCTTTGAGTGGAGTGTCCAGAAAAGTGTTATATAAGTGTAAGCAATTATTATTATTATATTTTACAATTGCATTAGAAAAGTAATCACTATATCACTGCCAATTAAAAAAGGTATTCAAACCTTTTTGTTTAAACTGCATGATATGACTCTAATATATACTGTGAATTAGATGGATATGATAAAGGTGAACCAAGCCTTGAGCTGATGTCTCTATGTGTCAGAATTACTAACAATGTGATGTACAGTAGATCAATGATTTATTTCCTGTTGTAGCCCTTTAAAGGTTTTCTCTCATGAGATATGACCCTCACTACTAACTTTAAAGGTTACCTTTCATGTGATATAATCCTCAATGTAACCCGGTCATAAATGATTTTAGGAACTGTTAAGTTGAATGACACTGCTCAGCAACTCTCTGGGGCCTTATTTAAGTTGTCATAATGACTCAGGCACAAGCATATGACCACTTCTCTCTCTAGCATTTTATTTTGTCGCATGCAAACACAAAATGTCCTTTTTCATTTATTTAATATTGTACATTTTTTCATTTTATACATTAGAAATTTTAAAATACCTGCTCTGCTTACCCCAGACCAGGCTGTTTCAGATTAATTTTCAAAATCGTGTATTGAATTCCAGCAAATCTGTTTTTGCACAAATAAAAATATTGGGCATGATTTTCAGAGAACGTGAGACATAACATTACTTTGGTATTTGGCGTCTTTGCTTGTTTCCATATTCTATTTCTGTACAGACTTTTCAAATTCTGAAGCTATGTTTAAATGGGTTATAAACATAAAAATGCATCTGTCTCTGGGTGATTGTTTTTAAACTTGCCAAGCCAAACTGGCATAATGAACAGAAATGATCTTTATTTCCTTATGTAAATGTAGTGATAGCTGAATCCTATGTAATCAACTCAACCTCAGAACATGAAAAGAAGCTGAGATGCCCTTAAGACCTTTCTTACTATATAAGGCTTTTCAAGACTTCTTATTTGGAAATACAAAGATTTCCGTAGAAATATCTCAATTCTCTATAGTCTGTTGAAACCTGTATTTCTATGTGAATTCAGTTCAGGTCTATAAAATTGATCAGTTATCTATAGGTTAAGGTTTAAACTTATTGTTTGTGTATTATTTTCTGTTATACAGCAGTACAAATCAAGCTCAGGCTGTGGTTTAATTCTATGTGGGAAAAAATGTAAGCGTTCTTGGTCTGTTTTTTTCCACTAAAGTGGAAACATCTTCAGTTATGTTGTTTGTTTGTGTACAGTGTTATTTATGCTGGAACAGCACACATCCTAAAGTAACCAGGAATAATACTCAAAAGCATTGTAAAAGTAGTGGTCAACCCTAACTTCAAAATATTTTCTTTGCATGCTTCACTGCTTTGAACGTGAGTGGTTGTTGTAATTTTTAATATGTTCCTCATAGTAACTTTACTTTGTGATACCATGTGAATGTAGGAAACCTTTAATTAATCCAACAAAAAGACTTTTCCCGGCTAAATGCACTACTTTATAATTATTATTTTTAATACCTCCTTAGGCTACAACAATAGAAAGAGATTGTTTTTTCTCTGAACGTTTTAGGCCTACACACAAAGTGAAAATGTTGTAAAACAGCGACAGGTGTAAAAGTTGATAGTTCATCCAAAATTTAAAGAAAGTATACGGACAATAGATTTAGCCTGAGACTTTTTTAGCACATTATAATAATAATAATAATAATAATAATAATAATAATAATAATTGCTTACACTTATATAGCGCTTTTCTGGACACTCCACTCAAAGTGCTTTACAGGTAATGGGGACTCCCCTCCAGCACCACCAGTGTGCAGCATCCACCTGGATGACTATAGTCAGACTTAACTGGAGACACACATGCAAGTAATTCTGAGAGGTTTTCATGGACTGTGATTACATAGTTGTATGGTGAAGAAACCATTTATAACATTATTTTGCACCGCCATTTACAATCAGATACTTCAGTGTTGCAGATTTTGTTTTCTGTATTCTGAAATGATGCTGGAGTATCATTGTCTAGGTCTAGGCTAAACTGTTTGTGTGTTCATCTGAATAAACCTGGGATATATAAGTAGATGACAGCTGTTATGTATTTGACTGCGTCAATGAGCCATTAACAGAATTAGGGATTCCTACCAGTATATCATTTTTTCTCTCTGAATCTACAAATTTTTATATGACTGCCAATGCCACTCTTTTTAAATAATAAACATGCACCATATTCCCTCTAAAAAAAATTAAACAACATAAATATTTTTAAAAGATGTATGCCATCAACGAAAGGAGATTTCATTATAGTTTATGAATAATTATATTGTACTCATTTTATTCCCCATGTCAAACTGTCACTTCTGTCACTCACCGATGATGCACATGTACAGTATCTCATTTTGAAACCTGAAGAGGGTGTTATGAGTATTTTTTAACAAAGAAAGCTTTATATTTTTGGAAAAAGACCACGTTGCTTCCAAAAATACCAGAAATAAATATAATTTGTTATTACTCTTTTTAAAGAATCTGCATAGTCTATTTCTCTGTTTACACATCATGTTTCATACCAGGCTCTGAGATTATCTGTAATTCTCGACACTTTTTCATAGATCACATTTAACTCAACTCAAAGTATCTAAAGGCGGTGTTTTATGTAAGCAGAACTTTCTGGTGTTAAGGATTTTCTGCGCTATTCAAACGATTAATCTCTCTCATTTATATAGTCCTATGTAATACTGTACCATTCGTTAGCACGAATTCGTACGCTTAGCGCAGATGGTAAAAACTGTCTTTTTACAATCTGGACAAGCAGAGGATCTGGTCCACGCCGAAAAGTAGAAAGAACACAATGTTTTACTGCGGTGACATCTTCAAGTGTGACATATTGAGAGACGATAACTTTGTACTCTTCCTACTTTTCAACTAACTCTATTTCTTTCTTGACAGCCTGCGTTCTGACACATAGCGCTACTCTAACCATGTTTTTCCTTCAAACTTTGAGCCCGTATGTCTCAGCTCACCTAGCAGATAGACTTTATCATTACTGTAATTTATGACTTGTAAACGCTTATCTCGAGGGATTGTACAGTGAGTGAAAAGTGCGGAAATATTACTGGTTCACAAAAGTACAAAAAGGCGGAGTCACACACAACTCGAGCTCCAAAGGGGAACTTTGAAGAGCTCAATTTTTTATTGTATATCAGTGAGCCACATGTTTGGAAGACGCGGATACACCGGAGGGTAAATAAATATATATTTTTTATAAAATTAATAAAACTCACTTTGACATAAACAGTGGGGGGAATGAGTCATCGCACTGAAATCAAGTGATCCTGAGATACAGAGTGCTGCGGGGCTCAATTGTGCAGAACTTCGACTCCAAAGACAAATGACGTTTAACGACGAAAGGTGAAATCTGGTGAAAATAACGCTTTAATTAAATTAAAAAGGAAACTTCTTTCATTGTGTCTTCAGCCGAGGGAGATGTTGGAAGATAACGCATGTGAATTAAAACGGAGGATTTTTACAAAATAACACTTTCCCTTTAGCTTGAATTGGAAATTCCGGGATTTTTCTTTTTAATTATTAAACATTGTTTCCGCAAAAAAAGAAAGGATGAATGGCAGCAGCGAATGTCCGAAAACTTTCCCCAAGGACCCAACAATTCCTGCTATAATGTTTATTTTTGGGGTCGTTGGGAATGTGATCGCAATCGTCGTGCTTTGCAAATCCCGCAAGGAGCAGAAAGAGACAACTTTCTACACGCTAGTCTGTGGTCTGGCTGTGACTGACCTCCTGGGGACAATGCTCGTTAGCCCTGTCACCATTGCCACATACGTGAAAGGATCCTGGCCGGGTGGTGACCCTCTGTGCCAGTACTCCGGGTTCATTCTGCTCTTCTTTTCGCTGTCAGGTCTCAGCATAATCTGTGCCATGTCGATTGAAAGGTACATGGCTATCAACCATGCGTACTTCTATAACCATTATGTGGACAAAAAACTCGCAGGCTTAACTCTCTTTGCCATTTATTTTTCGAACATCCTGTTTTGCGCCTTGCCCAGCATGGGCTTGGGACACGTAAAGATGCAGTACCCCTGCACCTGGTGCTTCATTGACTGGAGAAGTAATAAGAGCATACACGCAGCGTTCTCCTACATGTACGCGGGATACAGTTCTTTTCTCATCTTGGCCACGGTGGTCTGTAATATCCTGGTGTGCGGAGCCCTTATCAGGATGCACAGAAAGTTTGTTAGGAGGACATCGCTTGGCACGGATCAAGGCAGGATTGCAGACCTTCGGAGGAGAAGGAGTTTTGGGCGTCTGGCTGGAGCAGAAATCCAAATGGTCATCTTGCTTATAGCCACATCTGTGGTAATCCTCATCTGTTCGATACCGCTGGTTGTAAGTTCCCATGGTAGTTTTCTATTTAACTGTTTAGCATGCAAGAGATAAACGATTTCTCAATTATTATGACCGAGACATCCGAAACTTTGTTTAGGTATAGATTTTTTGTAGTCTTCACCTTCTTCTGTTTTAGTCATAACCATCTATTTAACCTACACAAAGAACGATATAAAGCTGATACTTTTTTATCTGTAGTGGTGGGAGACTATGTGTCTTTTAAAACGTCCGTTCTTTAACCTGTAACCTGGGTTATAGGTTTTTGTGTGTAATACAAGTGCCGCATCCGGATACCTACCTGTAAATTCTATCGTAATCACTCATGAGTTTGCGAGATAACATTGTGCAGCAACAGCTGAATCGTTAAACAAAAAAAGCTGTAGTTGTACAATGATTATAGTGCAATAATTCCTAAACATCCATTACTATTCGCTCTATTCTTTCATGGAGCACAATTCCTTTAAGGGCAAAAGGTATTGTACGGATCTATTGATTTAGTGACTCAGTAAGTCTAAAAAAAATCGTCTTATTGTTTTTGGAAATATTTCAATTATTTAGAAATAACCGATTAGAGTGATAATCAATAATCACTGTTCATATGTATTCATTTGTCATAAACTTGATTTCAAGCGCCATGTCGTTTGGTGCGTTGTAACAAAGTCTAGAAGCTTGGAATTGAAATAACTGAACAAGTCCACATTCGGACTGCAATGCCAGCATTTGATGGACAAACGTGCACAAAGTACAGTATGTGCAAGGGTGTAAGTTATGTAGTTTATTAATAGATGCACCTCAGTAACATAAATTATATACTGGTGTACATTTTATATAATAATACAGAATTAGATGTTTTCCATAAAACGATGTTCGATTGGTAAAGACGGTAACCTAATGAACCCCTTGTCGATAGCGCTGTCTTGCGTAATTGTAAACAATTCAATCGTGTCATTGCATTTACAGTTTATTTGCGGAACCTATATACCGTACGTACTGTATACTATTTTAAAATCACGTAGATCAAGGTTGAAGTATGCAGCATAGCTATCTTTGAAGGACTGATTAGGTCTGCCACCTACAGGACAATCTAATGAGGTCTTCGCTAGTTTCAAACTTGGAAACTCTTAATACGTAAAATGCCTACAGAAATGCGTCATAGAAACCGAACTAATTGTGGTCGTGACTAATCTTCTCGTGCTTTCAATGCCTGTCCCCTGAAAAGGGTAAAGACATCACAGAGAGTAACAAACTGCTCTCCCTTGTCATTAGCATTTGGTACTCCTGCCTCTGTATTTGATTCTTAGGTGAAGATAATACGGTTGGAAATCTTTTTTTTTCTAGTGAGCATGTGAGTCACATTTAAATCATTGACAGAAGTACATCTAAAGGTTTTACTTGTATTCGAAGGAAGGGCATCCCATCCAGGGTGTAACCTGTCTTGTGCCCATTGCTTGCTAGGATAGACTCTGCCTCCCCCGTGACCCAGTTGGAAGAAGCAATTAAAAAATGGATGGATGGATGGACAGAAAGGGTTTCCTGTGTGCTACCCAGCTTCTTGGGGTGTCATTAATTGTTCCTACAGTATATGTAAATGCAGACAGCAATAAAGGGCATGTTCTCTTTATAGTGTCTCTTTACCCGCCTTTGTGAATTACATATTTTTGTTGATCAAAGATACAAGGCAAATAACAAATTCTGTTGTTGAAAATGACATTATTAACAGCATTCAAAAATATTATTTTGCAGATTCTTTTGCAATGTAAAATTATTTATTCACACCGTTAATATCTGCATGATATCAGAATGGAGGATATGTATGTATATTGTAGTGATTGTAGTTTTGTAACATAAACTTACACTATAAATGAAAAATAATTAAATAACAAACAGTTATGAGAGGAGGCCATTTGGCCCATCTAACTTGTTTGTTTTCAAGATCCAAAAATCTCTTCCAGTTGTTTCAGGGTCAAGCGAGGGTATCAGCTTCAACAACATGACTAGGCAGCTTGATCCGGACTTCCACAGTCTTCCGCATTGTGTAAATGACGTGCCATCTGTTCTCAGGATTAAATACACTTCCGTGTAGCTTCCATTCCTGTCCTTAAAGTTCCAGTTGTATCCTCTCTTGAAATTATAACAATTAAGTTTCAGGGAATTAAAATGTATTGTTTTAGCTGGGTGGCACAGTGTAGCGGAGCTAGGTTGGGCGGGTGACGTCACTGTCCTCCCTGCGCGTAGCAGGGACCTCAGCTGCCTAGGCTGATTGAGGTCTCCTTTAGCTCATGCGGCTGGCTCCCTGTTGCGTTAGGCCGGAGACCCGGGTTTGTGCCCTAGGTGTTGTCGGACGAATCGGAGGGGTGGAGCTGCGGAGGTCACGAGACCGTGCGGAACCGCGACGGTCACACTAGTGGTTTGCATTGCTGCCTCACAGCACTGGGGCCCGGGTTGATTTCTGCACGGAGTTTATACGTTTTCCTTCTGTTTACGTAGGTTTCCTCCCATAGTCCATAAACATACTAGCAGGTTAATTAGCTTCTGGGGAAATTGGCCCTAGGTGTGAGTGCGCTCATGTCTTTGTCTGTGTGTGTCCTACGATGGACTGGCTTCCTGTCCTAGGTTGTATGCAGGCTTGTGCCTGTTTCTTGCTTGGAGAGTCTCTGAATTGGAAGAGGCAGTTTCAAAATGGATAGATGGATTATTTTAGCTTTGGTAATTAGTGACTCTCTGTAACCTGTGCTGACATGGACTAAATCAGAATTATTCATTTGTGTGTTGCAGGTGCAAGTGTTTATTAACCAGCTGTACCAGCCTCAAGTGGAAACGAAGATTGAAAACAATCTCGATCTCCAAGCAATTCGCATTGCATCGGTAAATCCCATCTTGGATCCCTGGATCTACATTCTGTTGCGCAAAGCTGTTGTCCTGAAGCTCATTGAGAAGATCAAGTGCCTGTTCTGTAGGATTGGTGGGCGAAGAAGGCGGACAGGAGGCAACTTCCACTGCATAGATGGACAGAGGTCATCAGTGCTCTCCCGTGATTCACCATCCCTTGTGTCTCGGGAGCTAAGGGAAGTCAGCAGTACTTCCCAAACTTTATTGTACCTCCCAGAAAATGGAGAGAACTTCATTGGGAGTTTTAGGACAGGACAAGGAAGGTTGGACTCAGGCAACTCTGTCGACCGGTCTTCTTTTAGAAACTTGCGGAGCTCCGATTCTTCACATGAGCAGGATTTAGAATGCAGCAATTTAGTAAAGCAATCTGGCTGCTTGAGCCCTTCGAATATGAACCGGTCACCTACGTATCAAAAGGACCAGGCTCTGCATGTGACTTTTACAGCTGAAACATTAAATTTGCAGGAAAAATGTATATAGCTCCATGAATTTCATATTCCATCCTAAGATGACTTTTAGGCAGCTTTTGATGAAGATGTGATTATGGCCCTCTCCTGCACATAACTGTCACAAAATGGCCTTTATGAAGAGCTGTAAAGGAATCCCATTTCTCTGTGGCTGTTAAGACTAAAATGTGAATATAATTTCAAGTTATACATAACTGAATTTGTTATGAATACAAAAACACAGCTCGAACTGAGATTCAGTGCAAATGAAAGTTTGTGTACGAGATTGAGCCTGAGTGATGAAGAGCACAGAATTATTCACTCTAAATCTTGTCTGGTATGTTTAAGATTCAACATATTCAGAGTTCCTTGTGTAATACAGAAGTTTTTTTGGGTTAGTGTTGATGTTGAATGCAAAAAAACTGCAAACATACTAGTTAACGCAGTAAAAACAGCACTTAGAAAATGTCATTTGTGGAAAAAAAACTTTATCACACCCTCACTTTAAGCATGTGTACCTGAGATAGGAATGTATTTTTTTAACAATGTTCAGCACATGTTTTTTAAATTCCACTTAAACTGTTCACCTCTGGCTTCCACCGCATGCCATTTGATGTAAAGAAATGTGTGTCGTATTGGAAACAAAAATGTGATTTTTTTCATTTTTTTGTTAATTTATTTTAGTCAAGGTGCAAGAAAATCTCTTCTCTGTGAGAAGGTTTAAGTAAGGCTTTTAATAAAAGTGCAATGCTTTCAAATATGAAGTAATCACAGTTCATTATTTCATTTTCCATTGCCAATCAAATACTTCATGTAACGATATCTAAAATCAGACAGGAAAATTGCAATATTTAATTGTGATTTTAGTACTAAATTATTGGAAACCAAATAGTAAGACAAAAAGCCAAACAAAACAGTATTCAAATTGGTGGACAACACATATAAAAAAGGCATCCTAAGAATATCTTCTCTAACTAAATGAACTAATCATCTGAAAAGATTTAGCAGTCTGCTATTTCAATGTGACTTACTGTATGGTATCATGTCTTGTGAAAGTCTTCAAGGCTGAGCAGAAGTTGTTTTTTATCAATACTGCAATCCTGGTGCATGATTTCATTCAAACCAGAAAGGGGTGGCCATTTAACTATTTAGAGTGTTTGAAGCTATTTTGAGTTTTGTACATATTTTTTCAAGTATTTCTGTATTTTTATTAAAGTCATTGCTGCCTTGCTTATATTAAGTCATAAAATTTATTGATGTACAGTTAACTATAACATATTTTTGAAATTAATAAAAATACGTGAAAGAAACAAAAATGTGTCATAAACATGCTTTTCATTTCTCACTAGTGATTTTTAGCATTTCCTTGAAACAGTGATTTTAAGATTTAGCAGGAGATAAGCAGAGACTCTGTCTGCTACAGTACCTGTTTACAATTTTAATTTAGCTTCCCAAACGTTGGGTGTGTGAGAAGCTCTGTTAGTTTTTATTTGTGAAAGATGCACAGTTCTGTTGGTGAAACATTTAAATAGTGCATGAAGGTTCTTTAGGCAAATGATTTACTCAGTTCATGAATTCAATCAGCAAAAATTAGCTGGTACACTAAACTAAACTAGTCCACACTGGTATGAATTGGCTGTGGCCTAACTGAAGCCATGAAGTCATGAGGGGGTTACTGCCATCCAGTGACAGGAATGACCATCACCTTGCACAGTGGTAGATGATGGAAGTCTATGAAACAGATGTCTCACAAATACTCGGGAGCTGCCCCATGATGCTACAAGACCTGAAACATCTCTATGTTTGAGGATGATGCTGTCAAACAAAATGACCCAACTCCCATAAATGTAAATAGATCAACCCATCAGAATCGGGCCTGCTCTACCTTCTAGCAACCTGTAGCAATTTCAGGGTTTTAATCACACTTTATTTCAACCACAGCAAGTTACATAAACAGTACTGTGTACAGCACGAAGTAATAGCAATTGTTAATGTTTTACCTCTTGTTACACCTGAGCTTTGTTGGGGAGACAATCTTACAAGAAAGCACTTGAGCTTTCTTGGGATTTTGCAGACATTACAAAAACCAAAATTAAATCCATGGCTTGAATTTTGTGGTTCCTGGGAACAATTATGAGTGATAATGATACAATAAAGGTATAGCGTTAGAGAACCATGAGGATGAAAACAATTAGCATTAGCATTAGAGCATATCAGAATAATAAATGTGTATAGAAGATAAAGTGTTTCTGTAAAAAAAAAATGACTGTTGTTCTCTCTGTATTTGTGGGAGTAGAGTTTGACATTCCAGTATTCCCCATCCCAAGTGCGTGGTTTCTTTTCCACGGTCAGTAGTGGCATCTTGCATGTACAACTCATTAAAGCTCAACTTTAATTTGTACAAGATGAACTTGCACATACAACTCATTAAAGTGCAGTTTTTATAGGGCTGGGACGTGCACAAAGCTCTTGCACCATAATATGTCATTCCATGAAATCCATACAGTTGTGCTAACTATGCTAGTGTCACAAATTCAGAAACAATAGTAACATAACATTTTTTCTTACATCAGGATATTCTTGTTTGAGTGTTTATTAATTCAGATTGGTGACTAAAATGACATAAGTACTTATTACATGATTGCCTTCAAGAGAATATTGTCACTTTGCATTGCATGTTGGTATACTGTGCATTGTCTAAGCAAATGTAGAAAAATACAGAGTTCCTATCTTTGATTTACGTATAAGAATCTTTGTAGAAACCTAGAAAATGTATGCCATGGGGCATACATTAGAGTAGCTACTATAAACATAATTCAGTTTGAAAGATCAGCAAATAAAAACAAAAAATAGGTGGCAAGTTGGCACATTGGTTACTGCCGCTGCCTCGTCCCACAAGGGCCCTAAGTACAGTTTCTGGGGTGCAATACTGTACGTGTGATGTTTGTATTTTCTTTTGTTTCTCTTGTTGTTCATGTTGATTTCCTCTGGGTACTTCGGTTTCCTCCCACATTCCAAAGACATACTGGTAGGTCAATTGGCTTCTGGGAAAGTGGGCCCTAGTGTGGGTGTGTGCATGTTTGTGTCTATGCGTGTCCTGTGAATGACTAGGGTATCTTCTGCCTTGTGCTTGCTGCTTGCAGAGAGAGAAAGGTTCCTGATTCCAGGTGCCCCTTTATTGGATAAAACTGTTAGAAAATAGATGGACTGAAATGCACAAAATACACTGATAAGGTTATTTAGCCAAGGGCTGTGTCAGCACTAGCGGTGTTAGGTATCAAAATCGAATAATTCCTCTGGGTAATCCTTCTCTTGGCTGCTGGCTGTAGTGTAAAGCCTGTGCTGTCTAGAACAGCGGTGAAAGTGCGCAGGACTAGCTGTGATCATGCCCATTCTCCTTTTTGTTTTTTCTGATGAACATCACTGCTTCACCATAATTTGAAAACTAAGGTACGTAATTACAGTGGCAGTTGAGAAATAATGCATTCAAAAGTTGCAGCCTCGTTAGCATCTTTGGGCATACCACTCTTTCCCATTGCAGTGTGAAAATAATAATAATAATAATAATAATAATAAACTTTATTTTATATAGCGCCTTTAAAGGTGGCTTCTCATAGCGCTTTACAGGATGACAATAACAATAAATAAGAAGACTACAACAATAAATAAGAAGATTTCACAAGACAGGACACAATTATAATTACAACAATACAACAATAACAATAGAGGAGACTGTGGAAGGTGGTATTAAGAAGAGCAGAGGGGTGAAGAATGGAACCAGTTAAGTAAAGGCTTTTCTGAAGAAGATTTGAAGGAGTTTAGAGAAAGTGACTCTCTTATATCCTTGGGCAAAGAGTTCCAGAGCTTGGGGGCATAGCAGGAGAAGGCCCTGTCGCCCATACAAAAGAGGTGGTTGACACCGCAACCTGGTTGTTTTGGTAACATGAGCAAAATAGCTGGGATATTTTAAATAAATTTAAAAACTGGGAAATAAAATTGCTATTTGATGTCCAGAAAAATTGTTTTTCTTTTTGTTAAAAACAAATTGACAAAAATCATTTTATTATATATCCACCCAGTTTGGATTGGCACAGTGACAGTGACTTCCATAATCATGCAGTTTGGGACACATAGATATGTTCCTCAGACATGCCTACCTGCAGATCCATTTTGTCATTTGGCATGCTACAAGCTCCATAGTGCCCAACATGAGAGTTTGTAGTGATTGGAACAATGGTGCTGATGTCATCACAGGTGCCTAGCAAATAATGGGAGCTGTTAATTCGCCAGAAAGTAAAGATGACCCTGGTGACTCGTACCAACTCTTAGTCAGGTGTGTACTGCTGTTTGGGGAATCTTGGTCACAATCACCTAGTGACAGAACAAAACGAACTTGAACTTGAACTTTATTGCCATATGTAATGGTACATGTATTGGTACAATGGAATTCTTAATTACAGAAAGTCTATCGATTGTTAAAAAAGTGTAAAAACACAAAGTGCAGACAGTGCATCAAGACAATATACAGACAAACAGTAGACAATGTACAAGTAAAAAAGTAAACAGTTTGAATGTAAACAATGCAGATCTTAACAGGGACTGCAATAAATAAGAAATCATAATGAGTTAGATGGTGTAGGTGTGGTCTGAGGGGCATGGCCAAATGTGTTCGACAATCGCACTGCTTGTGGGTAGAAGCTATTGGTGTGTACTAGTGACATCTCTAGAATGTTTACTTCACAAACCACAGGAAATAGTGGAAATTATGCAGAAAGGCATTTAGAATTGAGAACAGGAGTCACTTTTGTACAACAAAGGGTTGTGGGTGTATGGCAAAAGCTATCCAGTCATGTTGTTGAAGACAACACTCTGGCTTCTTTCAAGAAGCTGACGAATGTAATCCTCTGATCGATGAGCTACCAACAATAAAACAAGCCAGATAAGAGGAATACCCTTGTCTTGATTGGGACTTTTCTGGTGTTTTAATACTGATATTCAATTTCTTGAGACCAAAAGGGACAATTCCAGTCACATAATAATCACGTAGTTCCTAAGCCACAAAAAAAAAACTACAATGATACTCTGTAGATGGATGAGTAAGACATTAGAACAGATGTTAATGACCAACTTATTAAATACTAAAAAAAACGATGGAAATATTTCAAGCAATGTGGTGACAAAAAATGTCTAGAATATACTCTTATGAATATTCTAGTCGATCTTAGTTTGGATTTTAGAGACACATTTTGTGCTTTGTATTGCTCAACGAAGGTGTATTGTAGGTTACCAGCTGTTGTATTTGGTAATATGATTATTGCCAGAGAGACATACCAGAACAAAGATTCAGTGCCCGCAATCCACAAAGCTAAGACATATTTTCATGTTCAGTGTATTGCAGTGTAACTTTATCAAGATATGTTGTGAGAAAAATCTCATTCCCACGTGACATCCCAGCCAAGCTGCCCCAGGGGGATTTTTTATGGAAAGCACAGTGGATCAGAACTTGAAACTAAGCCACTACTCATGTGGTTTGCAAGTATCACTCACCATTTTATTGTGCAATCCCATTGTTAATTATTTCCAACACTGTACAAAGAGAAATATAACTGCTGTTGTAACACTTTGCTCTTGATTACAATGAATATAGTTTTGCTTTTTCAAGCTTAAATGTGGTTATCTGCACTTTGGCGGCCTCCTTTTGTACTGGATTGAATGATCCATACATCACATTTTATGTATTTTATGTACTGTATATACAGTAGTTGGCAGATAGAACAAAACATTCCAAATCACACATACTTGTGGTTTACACATTATAGTAGGAAAAACCTAACACTGTAGGTTCTTCCTTCAGGGTGGTCATATCAGTGGAACAATTACAATTTAATCAACACAGGTCCACAACTATGTTTCACTGGGTTTATGTCCAGGCTCTGTGTTATTCACATAAAATGAAAGCCCTTTAATTTTTTTTTAACCTTAAACAGACTATTTTAAAATGATAAGTGGTAGATCAACAGAAGATTGTGAGAAAAAAACGACATGGATATTACAGTTTCATGACTTGTGAGTAACATGTAAATATACTGTAGTCAACAATAAACTGTAGTTAACAATTAGGTGCAGCTGTATTCAATAATTGCTAGAGCAGTAGTTTTGCCCCAAAACTAACAGTAATGAAACTGAATGGTTACGCAGATGATGGCAACAGCAAAGCCACAGAATGATACACACCAACGAATTCACCAGCTGTAGAATTTACACATTTCTGTAGTTTTGAAGTGTATAGGAGATTGAATGTGACACCTACAAACAG